GCACAGCGATAAGGAAAACAGATGAGGTGAGTCGTGACATTGCCCCGCTCTCTCCATGGAAGCAGTTCCTAGGCACCAGTGCAGGAGGGATTTACCAACCAGAGCCCAGCCGTCTCCCTGTGGGAGTCACACAGACTACAGTTTGGGGACCCTGAAGCACCTCGAATGTGCGGACCAGGGGACCAGGGAGGAGGGGTGTGTACAGAGAGAGAGATAATGGCAGGGGGGTCATTCTGAATCTCTGGCTGAGTGCTGACCTGCAACGTAAGAGAGGAAACTCACTGAGCCCAGTAAACCTCCCTGACAGGGGCTCCTTAGGGCTCCCTGGACCACGCTTGGGTGACAGCAGGCTTACATGTTTAGCCTTAGGAGGGACAGGTGGCCTTACTAAGGTAACTTGGTTCATGAAACACCACCTATTAACTTCTTGTCACATCCTTGTTTTAATCCAACTGGGTATTTTCTTTTAGAAAGTCAGGTTTAGGTGCTTAATAGTATTAGCCAGGCCTCTCACTCCAGGGGCCTGTGTGTGCCATTGATCTGTCTGCTATTTATTTGTTTTATTAGAGGATTCAGGAACCTTGAGGGAAAGCACTGGTTACTCATTGCTTATCATCATGTCTGTCTGGTTGCCAGTGTAATTATTTATGCTAGAGAAACAAAACCCTCAGAAGTTTTAACGGGGTCATTTTCATAGCCTGTTAATTCTCCAAGATGGTGTTTAGTTCATGCAAAGTGTGATTGTATTACGGAAGTCCAAACACTGCTCCCTGCTCACAGGAACCATTTTAAGGCACGGGGACGCTGCTGGGGCGGAAGCTGTGACACTGCCCTGCAGAGGCTCCCAGGGCAGTGCTGTCAATCCAGTAACAATGGCTGTGACTAAGTCAGTTGAACACAAGAATCATATTCTTCAAAGGATAGATATTCACCTACAATGATTTTCTCACCAGGTAAGAAGAACTTTATTTTAGCTCTTACTCAGATTAGGGTCTTGAGCAGAGTTATCAGGCTCACAAGCCTCCCCGGCTCAGCAGATTGCCCAGCTGCTCTCACGCTGCTGTGCAAGCTCAGGAATCCCTAAGCGCGAGCGTTCGTTCTGGAAACGTGCAGAGTTACCTACGGGGTGCGATGCTCTGTCAGTGACACATAAAGCAAAACAAGGTGTGATTCTTATCTCAAATTCCTTTCCGTCACGTGAGGAGCAGGTAAATAAAACAAATTCTATTGCCTGCATGTACTTCCAGCAGTCAGGGCCCAGGCACGTGGAATGAGGGTCACGTTAGAAAAGGAGAACTGATGGATATCACTGGGCGAATAAAACCTCCTCGAATGTCTTCTTTCCGGTGTTTATGTTTCATGTTCTTCCATCTCCCTCTCCCCTTCTTAGGCCTTTTTATTAAGATGTTTAACCCCAAATGCTCAGGTGTCCAAAACCCAGTGTGTAGGAGTTCAGAAGGCAGCCTTTACTTTCAGACTGGGTGTAAAGACAATGCCTTCTTAGGTAAGGATGGAGACTATGTTCTTCAGAACTATTGTAACCTTTAAATTGCTGTAACTATTAAAATCTGCATTTTAACAGTTGTGCCTATAGATGATGAAATGACAATGATCCAGTGTCTCAGCTACATCTCCTACAGCCAGCAGGAAAACGGATGTCTCCTCTCACTGCTGTGGCCCACATTGTGCTTCCAGAAGGTATGGTCCCAAGAGGTGCAGACAAGAGTCGAGCCTGCAGAGATGCAGAGAGGATACTCCGCGATGGGCCGGACTTGAGCAGAGACACAGATCAGCGACCAAAAAGGCGCCACATCCTTCCTAATGAGAAGAGGAATGTTGAGACGCTTCCTGCTTTGAGAATGGGTGACACTTTCCCCTAGTCTCTTGGAGTAGGTGAAAAGCTCCCCCAACTCCAAGGCAGCTTGCATTTAAACTGAATATGAAATGAGACTATTCTCTTCACCAATAATTATCTCATCCATGGGAAATTAATTCCTCAACCAGTCATATTTCAGATGGATCGAAAGTGCTTAGATACCCTTCAAACATGTTAGTAGCGTCTACTTGAGTGCAACATACACTCAGCACAGGGAAGGTACTGTTCTGTGTAGCTGGACCAGAGAGAAAAGGCGGAGGGAAGGGGCCAAGGATAAACTCATCAGCAAAATGGTTGTTGTTAACGGATGATTTCATATCATGCCTCTTGAGTCACAAAACTGCCAAGGGTATGCCATGTCATCAACGGTAGGGAAAAAATACGCTTACGCGTGTACACAAATTAGCTGTGGGTGTCTGTAAGCAAAACCAAATTGAGAAAATTCTACTCAGTGCCTAAATACAAGAATTCTTGTCAAAACTCCATATATGTAATTTTGAAATAGCCCCTCCTCTTCCAGACAGCATCTATTAATTATTGGTGGAAATTGGGGTAAGGGAAACCCTAAAAATATATAATTCTGGAACCAAAGAATTATTAAAAGCAAGAGAAATCCTATGAAAAATGGCAGCATGTACACCAGAGACTGACACATTGTAACTGACTATACTTCAAAAAAAAAAAAAGAACCAAACTCAAGTTTCTGGGCACTGGGAAACAGTCAGATTTCTAAGGAGCACCAACCTTGGAATAACATCCGTTGCTAATACAAGGCATTGACCACTCAAGTGTCTAAGACAGGAATTTAGTACCATAACTTCAATAAAAATTCCCCAAAGTTGAGGAAGTTAACTGAGCTAGCTATTTATCTGGATTATCAAAATCAAACTGAAATATTTACTTTTTCAAGAAAAGATAAAATTAAAATTTCTCAGAAGCATAGAAGAAATAATATCAGCAGACTTCAATCTCCACTGGTACCTTTTCTTTGTGTCATAGTCAGTAAACTCTGCTTCCTTCAGTGCTGGGGGGCCGGGTCTCACTGCTCTAGTTATCAGCCCATGAGAACACACATTTCCTGTAAGACCAGGTCCATAAAATTTTAAATGTTACTGCTCTTAGTAAATCAATATGTTTAAGGCAAAGGTGGAGACAGCCCTGCTTTCTTTTTATCCTCACCCTCAGCTTTGACTTCAAAACCCTAGAAATTCTTGAAGCCACTAAAATCCATCCTGCTAACACAAAAGTTATGCCTTTTTAAATAGAAACGTGTCCCTAGTTTTGTTTTGGCACAAATTATTCACGTGCCTAGAATCTTCCACATCATATTGACATCACACCTGTATTGACTAACTGTGTAAAAAGAATTTGTTTTAATTAGCTATACTAGAGAAGAACAGAAAATGCTGAGTCCTGTGCTCTCAGTGAGCAGACATACTTGTCACATCAAGGTTTTGGGTTTTTCTTTTTTTTTTATTTGAAAAATATGGTAATTTCTCTTTTGTGCTCGTTTGGTGTGGAGAAACTGGGGACTTTTTACATTTGGGTTCCCAGTGAACAAGAGTCCAAGTGGCCTCCTCCTTTTATAAACAGACAGCTGAATGTGTCCTTGGTCACTGAATCGGACCCACTTCAGGAGGCTCCCTGGCATAAATGCCATGATAAAAATAATACGCAGGTTACACAGTCAGGGCCAGGGGCAGCGTCCAGGCTTTCTCATAGCCCAGATCCTCCAGTCCAGAATTGGGATCATTATTTAGTGTCTGTAAAGAGCTGCTGTGACGACAGGAAGATGGCGGACACGTGTCAGCACCGTGCAAGCAAGACACACCGCGTGCGCAGCGCTTGCTGCTGAGGCTGCTCTGACCCACAGCGCCCCTGACAGAAGAAACAGCTTGTCAGGACGCTCTTCTCACTGAGCCGACTTAGGCAGCAGCATTTCGGGAGCAACCACGAGGGAAGGAAAAGTCAAGGGAAGAGAGAATAAAGATCTTAGTCACTGGAAATGGAGTGTCTGAAGGGGAAACTCAGCAAGACCCGCAATCCTGCTCTGAGTTGTACAAGCAAGAGACTAGCCTCCAGTTACACATTTGTGCATGAACAATGTGCCCTGGGAACTTCCATTAACAGGTTGTGAAATATTTCAGCAATAACAACTGAACTGTCATTGATCAGAGTTAGCGAAGCCTCCCCGGAGCTACGTGCCTTCCCTGGGAAAGAGGGTGGGCTGAAAACACGCTTTCCTGGAGAAGAGCTCTTAGGTTCCTGTTTCCACTGTTCTTCCCCCAGTTCCTCTCTGTGGAGCAATCCAAGCTTTCCAAGGTTCCTGGCTCTGAGCATCACAGCTGGCAGGACACTGAGGGTGCCTCCAGCACACAGATCACTGGAGAGAGAAAATAACAGCCCCTCCCAGGGCCGCCCACAGCCAGACCCCACCTGTGCCCCTGGGTTTGTGCTCAGCTCCCCCTGCAGCCCCTCTCACTGTGTCTCCCAGAACACAGTAGTACACGGCCGAGTCTGACGTCTGCACGGACGGTTTCTGCAGGTGGAAGGTCCTGCTACTCTTATCAAGAGTGGCCTGAAAACCTTGATGCTTGGGCCTCGGGTTTGCAGTTGAGCCCTTCAGGAGGAGCTGAGGAGCTTTGTTGAT